GGGTTACTGACCTGCCGGCCTTGCGTAATGGGGCGGTTTGTTTGTGTACATGTTGTGATTGAGAGGTCAATGACCTCACCTCTGCAGGATTGATATCTGTGCCTCCTCGTACCCCCCCCCCCCAACCTCTGTTACCAATTAGTGATGTAAATAAACTACCTCCGACCGTGTGGGGCCAGTCCTGAGTTGTATATCTGGGAGTGAAGTCGTCCCTCTCTCTCGTGACCACGTACATCAATTTGCTCAGTTAACAAAGAGATCAGAGTAGGATTCTTGCATTACTAATAGCTATGAAATGATATATATGGAATAAAGTATACCAAACACCTTGCAGGCTGCTCCATCAATTCTTCAATTCAGAACATACAAGTCTCTAAGTACTAAAACTCGCTTGAAAGTTTATCTGGGTTGGTACTTAACGTTACATGATAAAAATTAAAATTGTACCAACACAAAGCAACTCCCTCATTATTCATGGCCATATAACGTCCAATTAAATTTAAACCCAGCTGTCATGTTTTAACAATGAACACATGTGATAACATAAAAAAGAACCCTAACAACACCAACCTCGTTCATGGAGGGAAGATGTCTATTGCTTGTTTCCTTATTTGTTGACTTAGTAAATTAAAAGACACCTACTAGCACATTCTTATTAGGGGCAATTATAATTTTTTTTATATATGGAAAGAGGCTTCAGTAATCCAGCAGGAGGTTGGTACGCCCACTGTTCACTACAGGCTGCGACCGCTGAACGATCAAAGATTTAACATATCGCTCAACGAATTTCATAGACTGCAAAGAACGACTTTTTTGAGTCTGTCTGTCTTTTTTGTTTACATCGTACATCTTATATTCTAATAATGAGATTAAGCGTGAAACAAATCCACTTAAGGTCTCACAACAGTCGCTCAGAGATCGCCGTCTGGTGGTAAGAAGGTCTTACGAAGATAAGCTTCGGAACAGATCATTGCAGGGAAACTTGCCGCGCTAATGGCAATATCTGGGATTGGCATCAACTCGCATCGATCGCTGCCGGCTGTCGGCTCTACACTAGGCTTGGCAAACCAACACCTCTGCCTTTTAACGCGCCTCTTCCTGCCCCGCAGGAACCTACTGCTGTTTTCCGAGGGCTTTAATTGAATTTCCCGACCCGAACGCTGCGACCTTAGCTGGTGGACACATTGTGTGTTTGACTGATGTTCTAACACAGTTACCAGGGCTCTCACTAGGCGCTACTGGAGAGGTGTGTGGCGTGACAACAGTGTTCATCAGACGGCTCTGCGTGCAGTTCTCTGTCAGATACAACAGCATCCTCGTTCCACGGCGGGTTCCTTGCCCTGGTTTGTTTGTTTGTTTGTTTGTAGACGGTTGTGAGCCCGACCATGGACACCAGGAGTACGGCCCGGCTCTGCCTGGCGGCCTCACTGCTGGCGGGAGCCTGCCTGCTTGTAGCCGGGAGTCCCGTGCTCACCAGCCACCCGGACTGCCCGGAGTCATGTAACTGTACCGTGGACAAGGCCCTGTGCGTCAACACACTGACTGTACCGCGCAAAATCCCCGCAGAAGTTACGTCTTTGTAAGTATTTCTTTTGACTTCTTGGATTTCCCCTCTACATCACCGGTACCAACAAATGTGCCAATTGATGTCACTGTGTAGAACAAGAAAGTCGACGAAAAGTCTAACAGTCAATCGCCCTTCTGTGTGTAAGGCATTAATATGTAGCTTTGAACCTTTATCAACTGTAATATCTATTTCAGCTACTTTTATACATGCCCAACGGTACAGAATATTTGTCTAACTACCACACGTGCAGCGCCATTATAGACGTAGGGTGTTAAACCGATTTGACTTCTTTTGTAAATTATGTGTTTGCAATATGGATGTAAACACTTCAGCAAGGCAGACACGTCGATCTTAAATATACAACGGGCACATTTGTCATTGTTTCGTTCCTGTTATTTTTCGGCTATTTTGAAGTCAGGAATAGCGTGTCAATTGGCCGAAAAGTGGGAAAGAGATAATATATGCTATGTATAACAAATTTGTGTAACTGTACCTTCTTTTATTTACTGTTAACGAAGGCTACAAATCCAAACCTTGCAACAGAAAGACAAGGTCAACCTGTCACGATCGAATCGATCGTTTTCCTTTTTCTGCGCTCATGTGGATAAATCGCGTGCACAACAATACCATGACATCTGCCGTGCCGAACAATGTTTCCCACCTGTCAACGTCACAACCCGTTACATGACCTCGCCACGTTCAGTCTTCACTTCCGTGTGATTGGCCGTTCATCATCAATAAGTAATTCAGAAAACTACTATTCATTACCCTTTGAGTTCGAGTCAAAACTTGCAAGGCACGTCAGAGATGTTTACAGTCTTAATTCTTACGGCCCGGTCATATTCGTCTTACGTCCTTCGATGTTGGCGTCGTAGATATTTCAAGCAGGCTGTGACAGAACCAACCGCCGACACTGGGACAACCTTTCATTTGTGCGACACATGTACGACTATCCCAAGACTTTTTGCGATCGTCGCACGGCACATAGGTTACCAGGCCTTTAGATCCTGTTGTCACAGAGAGGAAATTACTCCAACAACAGAGGCGTGATCCTGCGGTCAAATGTCGCTCAACGGTCGGCATAGTCCAGATGCCATCAGATGGAAAAGCTCATTAAAATTTCATGTCCAGCCGGTCGTAAGAAGAAATTATAACATCCCATTAAAACCGTCCGCCGTTTTTTTTTCCACAAACTTCGCACTCCTCCCACGTGACTCGTTATCTCGCGTTCGCAGGTTTCCCGCCAATTCGTCATGGGAACGACAGTACCTACTGGTGTTGACTACTGCTTCCGTACCCAATTCGTACGCACATCACAGGTCCTTTTAATGCACTTGTAGACAATATAAATGTCTATCTATATATAACACCGACCAAAACGTCCCCTGCTGCTTTGGATATCAGCGTTTGGTTATCTTATCTTGTTTCCACAGCCATTTCCTGAATACTCATACATTATTTATATAAAGTTGTATGAAAAGGGGCTACTTAAAACCATTAGGGCTGCCCATATAATTTCTGTTACGTTAGCTTGTACATAAGGCATGGTGAAGAAATATCATCTATTACATGTCGTATTCTTCTGTTGTTTTATTGCCTCTTCTTGTAAAGCGAAAGTAATCATTCCGAGGAAGTCAGTAGTTTGCGCATAGACTGTGTAAAAACAGCGATGGCAGATCTCTGTTTGCCTTTCACCTATGGTAACCGATGTTCCCACGAGAGCACCAGACAAAATTCATAAGCATTAAGGCATGGTGGTAAAATTGGCGCGAGAGAAAATCAATGCCCGCATGTCTGTTCAAGACCAGGTGTTAACCGTTTTATTGAACCAGCAGAAGCAGGCTAGGGTGCAGAATCCGGAAAAACACACATCCGCTCCAAAATATTTTGGTGTTTATTTTTTTAGGAGGTTGAGAGGAGGAGCAGTCGAGTGATGGTTTTTCCATGTCTCATTTCCATATTGTTCAGATGTTGTTTACCGAGGTTAATTTGATACATTTACAGAGAACACAGACAGACAGACAGAGAGAAAGAAATGGAGAGAGAGAGGGAGGTGTCTTATTGAAACAAAATCATAACAGCGTTCTTTACAGTTAGGCGCGACATACTGTCCAGATGGTTAACTCTGTGGCGATCTCTCTTCTCGCACTGACGTCATTATCAGTCGACACACAGAACTGTTGATAACGGGATATCGGAAACGGCTACCGCTGCGAGAACAGATGACTATGATGGATTTAAAACCGTGTCACGAGTGTGGCACACAGCAAAGCACAAGATAAATATGACTTGCTAGAGTTAATTTACTTCATCAGACAGAAAGTCCTGCAAACTAAGCATTCCGTAGAGAGGAGTTGTAACAAATTTCATAGGTTTCTTGAGTAATATAAACTAGAAAATTATGTACTAGTATTTTGTGAAAATGATCAGTTAACTTAACGGAACCTTCCCTTTTTTCAGAACCTTTATTGAGGCGGAATTCCACAAACTCACCACTGGATCCTTCTCCCATCTCCGGACGGTCTACCTGCTGTAAGTTTATCATATATTCTTATTGTAAAATTCATCAAGCAAATGCCTGCAGGATGACCAAGCTCTACACGACCCCCACATGGTGTACACCCACAAACACACCATATCCATCCCACCAGCAAGAACAGAAGACTTTTGAGCTCATTTCTTCATCAGTCAATCAAACTGTATAATCGAACAAAACAATCTGGTGTGCAATGATGGGGTCATGTCATGCCAAATGTATATACATGTACATAAATGCATATACTGATACATGGATACAAAATTGAAATCTCATTTTGGTAGATGCTTATCATGTAATCCTATACAGACCGGGTCATGGCAATGATGAATATAAACATTAACATACTTATGTACGTATATGGCCCAAAATTTTGAAGAAGCAAGAGAAAAGCGTTGAATTGTATTTCTATGAATAGGACCGATAGCAAGCACTATGGTATAACGTGACATGTATGTATCGAAAATGTTCTAGAAAAACGATATTTCGCTTATCACATGATTTTGTTGCTGTACAGCTTCTTCAAATCATGCATATTTGAAAAGATTGAAGATGGAGCTTTCGACGGAATGACTAGTCTTCGGTACCTGTAAGTCACACCTTTGATTCTTGTATAGCCTAATATTAAACACTTACCTCTTTCTGATGTCGACACGTCGTTAGAATGGCCCTTATACAATGTACTCGAGACCCTTGCGTTTTGCTACCATGCAGGTTTTTTTAATCTATTGCAACATCCATAACAATACAATACACAGTGGTGCTGCGCTCAAGGGAAAGGGCTTATATGAAGAGCACCACTGAACAAAGAAGAGACAAATGATACAAACATGAAAAGGAAACTGGAACGGGAATGTCTGTTGAACAGAAACCTCGGTAGATCTAGACAAAAAGAAAAAGATGTCGAAGTCTTTCAGACTTCCGGGAGCGAAGTGCGTTGGGTTTTCGTGGATGTATGAAGACTGCAAAGGGGATTGTATGCTGTAATGTAATCGGTATCACAACACTAGATACATTCTTGCACAATTTTTTATGTGCTGGGTCACCTTCATCCATGATCTATCTATAAATCAAACGCCAAAGCCTTCTCACTCTCATGCGACCTTTGCCACTCCGGAGCCGAAACATACAAACCACCTTAATCAGCGCCACCCAAAACAATACTTCCGTCTGGGAAGTAATAATGGTAACAGAAACATCACATGCCATGCAGTTCAGACTTGTGCTTACATCAAGTAATGGAGCGATATTTCACATCGATGTTGTAACGACCGTGTGTTATCCCGCAGGTTTATCGAACTCAGCGAGATAAAGTATCTGTCAGAGCGGGCTTTCACCGGTCTGCCGTCACTAATGTACCTGTAAGTACACTTCATCCTCTCAGATGGCGAGGTCTCTCTCCTTCAAAACATGATTAAATCGTTGTACGACCAACAAAGGCTTCTGGAAGCAGCACTTCACGTGCACCTTAGAAGTGTATGCCCTGCCATTTGACATAATCACATATGGGCCATGAGCCTCTATAACTTTGGGTTCCTTTGTTCGGCACTATTAGATGTATACGCGAGTAGCATATGCAGAATACTGGTATCTATAACGTCTTTGATCGCATGATGAACATCACATGTACGAATACACTCCTGACATGTGGTAGCGCATCAGAAATGTTGAAAGTGAACATTGTGCCGTACACCTGATACTACAAAATTCATCATAAAGGTTGTACTTTGTAGCTTCGCGGATGAAGCCATATAATACATGTGTATAGTTCTGTACGAGCTACAGCCCGCTTAATGCTATGACTAGACAGACGTTGAGGTAGACTGACCGCTTGATCTCCCCTCCGCAGGTCGCTGGCGTACAATGACCTATCCGGGCTTCCTGTCGGTCTGCTGAACGGCCTTGGTTCACTCATCTATCTGTAAGTTACGAATGTTTACAATAAGAAGTAGATCTAGGATCGAGTTGTGACAAAAATATAATCCATTGTTGATGATCATCAAAGCTGATTGGGTTTCCAGAGTTTCACAAATTTAGACATGCACGTACACAGTGAACAGTATTAACCTTATTGGAATGCGAATTGACGAACTGAGCCGTTTCCCATGCCCCAGGGACGTGTCCCATAACCCGCTGGTGTGCGACTGCCGGCTGAAGTGGCTGGTAGACAAGCTGCTGTCAGAAGAGTACTTCTCCCCGCCGTTCAAGTGCGCCGGTCCGGCGGAGCTTCAGGACAGACTGTCCTCCAAACTCACTCAGGACGACTTCGACTGCATCAAACCAGGTTTGTACAAATGTACAGTTTGGAAGTTACTTAAGCTTGTATTTAACAGTTGTAAAAGTCGTTTCTGCTTTAAGATCGGTTTCAATGTTTTACTGTGAAAGACCAAAAGAATCAGCTAATCCAGGCTGGAGGTTTTCAAAGCTGTGGAATATAACCCAGCAACTCATTTCTTCTTAACCTTTTCCCTGTGGTATCAAGTTCTCATAACAGTCACCCCTTCCTCACTTCATGTGCCTCCAGAGTTTCACGCCTTCCAGTCGATGAACGCGGTGTCCATGCGGGTGGATACCTACAAGAAGAGAACGACTAAACAGCTGAATGTCGTGGTGGCCGAACCAGAAGCTGGCGTCTGTAGCATCCTCACCTGGGATCACGTCGAGTTTACTTTTAAAGTACTCCTTACACCCTCTTTCTACTTTGTCTTTCAAATAAAGGCTGCGACCGTTCAGCGACCAATATTTGAGACTTAGTGAATGTCATAGACAAGGAGTGGATTATTTTTTTCGTTCGTTGTGTGTTCTGTTGTCTGGTAAATCATATACTTTATTGTGGCTTTGTTAAAAAACACATTTCCCTACACATCTCCAGGTGTATAACAACATCACAGCCCCTTCAGTGGTGGCGTGTACGCCCGTGCAGATGGAGACAGACCTGTTCATACTGGCCGCACAGCTGTACGGCGGGACCAGGGTCTTTCAGTTCGACAGGTAAAAACCGAGGTTTCCTCATCTGGACTCTACCGAAAAATGATTTGGGAGTTTATTTTGTCTATAAAAGAAAGTGTCTCTGGTGTTCCGTTTGCCGTATTTACGTTACTAAACTGCAGAACTTTCCGTTTGTATTTCAGCACCAAGGACAGCTTCGTCCTGTCCCAGACCATCGACACGGTGAAGCCGAGTGACGTGGAGACGTTCAGTATTGACGGGACGCACTACGTGGCGCTGGCGGACGGCGCCAAGGGAGGGACCAGCGCCGTGTACTCCTGGAACGGAAACCGGTTCACTCTCGCGCAGGTACAGAAGTGTGTATACTTATTACATGTTTCAGGTGTCTGTATTTGTTATGTGTATGTGTATGTGCACATGTATGTTTGTTTGAATGTGACCTGTACTTAGCCAAGAGTGGGGGAAGCTTGTACGTGTGTGTGTGTGTGTGTGTGTGTGTGTGTGTGTGTGTGTGTGTGTGTGTGTGTGTGTGTGTGTGTGTGTGTGTGTGTGTGTGTGTGTGTGTGTGTGTGTGTGTGTGTGTGTGTGTGTGTGTGTGTGTGTGTGTGTGTGTGCGTGCGTGCGTGCGTGCGTACAATTTGGTGAGGAAAAACTGTTTATTTAGTCCACTGCAGGATATAGTTCTAAATGAACTATAACATCTATGACGTACTTAATCGCTGTTGTTTCTGTAGGAGCTTGCCAACTTGTACCGAGAAGCTGACTTTGAGTTCTTCAAAGTCGAGGACCAGCCGTACCTGCTGATGCTGAGCAGCGGCCAGCACCCCGCTCTGTACAAGTGGTCCAGCGGGGACAGGCAGTTCATATACGAGGTAACAATGACGTAATGCTCGAGAGAGGTCGTTCAGGATTTTTCTCTATTTCTAGTTTGGACCAGGATGGTATCTAGCTAGTACATCGAAGTAACACACACATTATTACTATTGTTACTGGCCAGCATGAGAAGTAGATGTTCTTTGTCGAAGAAGCTCTGGGTTTGCGTGTTTGGATTTATCGTCTTACGTATTGATACTGATTGTTGATGATAAACACATCATGAATTCTGACGCAAAATCCAAAAGCAGGCTTCGTATTTAACATAGAGATAAGACCTACATATCCCTGAATGGGTTTTATTGTCTTACGTCCTCACTTTACTGTTTACCCTGTTTGTGACCTTGACCTGACCTTGACCTGTATGTTCTCTACAGACCGACATCCCCTTTGAAGAACCAGTAGCAGCGCACACCTTCGTTCTTGACAATGTCGTCTACCTCTGCCTTACACAATTCCTCGGAGAATCCAAGGTAGGTTCATGAATACTTCGATACTAAAATGTGCTCTGAGTAATACAAAATAAACCAAACGTCTGGATAAATTCTATATTAGACATGTTAGATAGCTGATAGATGTCAAATATTTCAGATAGCATCTGCTACCCGGTAATGTGTTCTCTCCATCCGGATGTCAGCTTAAAACATTATTACTGGCAACCAAGAGGTAACATCATGCAATACGCCCGTATAGTTACTGCGCTGGAACACGTCCACCTCCGGGTTCCAGGACTACCAAGTGTTCAAGTCCCGGGGGGCCATGGTTCTCCAGCCGCTCCAGGTGGGGCAGGAGTACTACCTGGTCCTGGGCAGTGACTACGTCCTGACCGAGGTCTACAGGTGGAACCCACAAGACAAGAAGTTCATCAAAAGCCAGGTCGGGTGAACAGCTGACAAACCCTTTTTTAGTCCTGCACGCTAAAATGCAATCATGAAGCGCACACAAAATATTGTGTATGTGGGCTGGGGAGTCCAATTCTTACACCGTTTTGCCAAACATCATTTTGACATTATAAATCGGTTATCAAAATAAAGTTAGCATTTTCCAGAATCTACATTGTGTTATCTCTAGCGTAACAAGCGAATTTGCCTTCGTAATATGAGTTGCACCTCAGGAAATCCATTCTGTAAACGCTGAAACTCTTCCCGAACCTCTGTTCCCCTTCAGGACATTGAATTGAAGACCCCGCGAGACTTCAAGGTGGTGACAGTGCCGCCGGAGAACGAGGACAGTTTCCTGTTCGTAGCCAGCTTCAGTGAGCAGACCGAGATCTTCAGGCACGAACTGGTGGACCTCAGCCTGTAGTGTCAACACTGTTAGAAGTCACAACTGTGCACCTGTACCAGTACTGGTACCACCTTAGCCCCGTCCTCATGTTTGAGGGCAGAGACTATATGGAAGCTCTCAGTATCAGTCTCTTCCACTCATTCCTGTCTCTGACTCATTGTATGTTGTCGTCATCCCACCTCCTTCGTCTCCCAAGGCTCCTCCTACTGGCGATGTCCCCTGTAGGACGTGTGTGGAGATGTGCTGTGCTCTGGTGATGTGACCTCACTGTGCACAACCATGTACATATGTAGTAACATAACGTCTTTAGGAAACGTAACTGCAATGGGTTGTGGGTATACACTCCATTTCTAATCTAGACAAGATTATGTCGTGAGTTCCGGCTTTAAGATGAAATGTAGAAATGAAGCCGTCGAATAAGAAAACTATAAAACAAAACAGCAACAAACGTTTAACTTACTAGTTTTAATGGTGTATAGATACTAGAAAAACATTCGGCATGCATTAATTTTTAAAAAGATGATTTAGCAAAACGATACGTCCTGATTGTGTGTCCCTGATATGACGTCGAAGAGAGGCATTTTATGAACGTGACATATATAAACAGTCACACACTGCACGAAATCTTACTTTAGACACACTTTAAACCAAACGTAAAGGTTCACTTTCGTTAGTGGACATATACGAATGCTTCAAGGTGTGTAGTGATGACCCTTTCTACAGGGCAGTCATGATGATGGACTGATCAAATATGTACGAGTCAAGCTTTATCAGCATCAGGGGGAACTGTTGCTTTTCATGAACGTGTCAATAACGATAGAGTAATGATTCATATTTATGCCCATAATGGTATATATTGCATAGATTGCATCCTTATGAATTCGTTCAAGGCGTCATGATAGTTATAATTTTAGATCAAGTAGTAAATTGTCTGAAGAGTTCAAGTTCGGTCGATTAATCCCCATACATAAGCGCATTGTCCGTTCGTGGTGTATGTACGTCTGTATCTCTTGGAATAACCTCATTTGTAGAATTTCATGATCATCAACGGCACCTAATAAAGTGTATACATTGGTTTACAAAGTTAACGTTAAGTTCCCTATGACCACCACACTACCGTAAGTGTTAGGACCAACAACTGGTATGAACGAAATAATGAGCTGCAGTGAAGACTAAAACTGCTGGATGCCTGCTGTCCTGCTTGAGCAGGCGTTATGACAGACTGACTGGTCGCTTCTGTTACATCATTTTCTGAAGCAAACCACGTGGTAGTCGCGGAGAAACCAAAGTCACAGACGGTAGCAGGGGACTTGTCCCCCACTACGCATGTGCGGGTCTGTTCGAATCCGTCCCATGATGCAGTTACCCTGTGAGTCCCGGGAAGAAGCAATCTCCAGTAGTCTCCGTCCGACGCTGGAGGATAAGGAAATATGTTTAAAAGATGTTTGTATGTGCGAAGAATCCGCCCAAGAAAAAATGATAAAAAATACCATGCATGCTTCGATTCTCTTCTACAAGCTTTCAAGGACAAAGAATGCTGTCTTTCAATGTTCACTATAATATGACCTTTCCACTTCTGGACGGTACTTTAAGTTAGGGTGCAGTAACTTGCAAGCGATACGTATTTGGCTGCTTGTAAATCAACCCACCTGTAGTGACGTCATGATCCACGCCCTCTACGGAAATGGTGGCGTTCGCCACGCCTTTTCCGGCTCCATCTCTGACAAACCCCTTGATTCCTGTGTGGACCTAAATGGACAAAATTTACATTTGAAATCGATTCCATGCTAGAGATCCCACATGCACACAATCCCACAGACACATATACATATACATACACATACACAACACGTGCTCACACACACACACACACGCACGCAAACACACACACGCACGCACGCACGCACGCACACTCGCACGAACGCGCGCGCGCGCACACACACACACACACACTCACGCACATACACACATTTTATTCTCACTGTGTGTGCGGAACATGCATATGACACGTCCATATACATACCGCCTCTATGTACGACAGCAGTGCTTCCTTGTTGTCTTCCCAGTACGTCTGCAACTCGTCTTCATCCGGGTACTTATCACAGCTCAGTTCAAATGTCATCTCCAGACAGTTGGTGGCCAGATAGCTGAAGTCCTGCATGCCTGCAACATTGATTTGTAGTTATACTAATTATTGCTGGTGATAAAGTAACTTTTATGCGTTTTCCCACCTTTGTGAGAAGAACAGAACATGAAGACAATTGCACGGAGTTATCATAAGTGACGTTGTCGCTCAACCTTACCGCCAGGAACGCAGTACCATTCTGCGCCGTTGGTCATCCCTCCCTTGCAGGTAAAGTTGCGCGCGTTGCAGGGCTCCACCTGCCCACACTTGCCCATCTTCCTGTGCCCGTCCACGTACACTTTCGCCAGCTTCCGGAAGAGGGCGTCGTCGGGCGCCTCAGAGTAGGACCGCATCACTTTCCTTTAGTGAACAAAAATAGGTCGATCAAACAACTTACACGTTTTCAACGGCAAACTTCAAGGGCATTTTGGGGATATTCATGAAAAGTTCAGCTATCTTGTTACGGAAAAGGCTGCCTCAGATCCTTGTCGGCAGTTGGTTCTGTCATCACAACCTCCTTGAAAACGCTGTGACATCAAAATCGTACGAAGACCTACGACGGATGTGACTGCGTCGACGTCCTTAGTGACGAAAATGACATCTTAGGTACAGATAATAAGCAATTCTTACAATAAACAAATTTTACAAAAACAATAAACATAAACACAAACAATTCTTTTTATTTCCCGTACCTGAGACCACAGCTGTCGAAAGGATAGCTGACAACCACGCTCCCTCCGTGAAGACTGCCCGCCAGGACAAACGGTTGGCTGAAGCTCCACAGTATGACGGACAATGTCTCCGGGGCGACCTGAGAAGTTTAAACAGCGGCGTCATGAGTGGCAGTATCGCGAGAAAACGCTGCTATTCCTTCCACAAGCAAGCGCGCATCCTCAAAGACTTGTGCCATACCTTTGTCTTGGGAGCGGAGTGGATAATTATATGAAAAACATTGAAATTTATCTATTGAACTCAAAATACAGGAACACAATCTATTCGATTGCGTCCAGGTACGGCAAGTACCCAGAACGTATCTTCATTGCCGCGTACGTATCAGGTCATGTTCGAGCATAGAAGAACCATACCCTGTAGCATATAGCGTTTATGGTTCAAGTGTTCAGATACTGTGATTAATCCTATTGTAACAATAAACTTCTTGACGTGTCTGATAGTGATAAGTCTCATCATGTACATGTGTGCACATTGCGTTCTGGGTAGGCGCTTCAACGGATCAAAGCTGTACCCACCAGCGTGTCCCAGTACCACTCGGGAATGTCGACATGATGATTTCTGCGTTGAGACTCCTCCTGTAGGAGCCAGACCGGCAGCAGGTCGGGGAAGTTCCGATTCAGGTCGATCCTCTCCGAGTTGAGCCGACCGTAGCTGCCCCAGGACGTGCTGGTCCGAGGGCTGTCCGGGCCCTGCATCGGACGGACACGGGGGCAAACAAAGCTGGGTGAGCTGTTTTGACCAGAAGGGACTTAAAAATAACACACACACGCACACACGCGCACACACACACACACACACACACACACACACACACACACACACACACACACACACACACACACAGATTCAGATAGAGAGACAGACAGACAGAGAGACAGAGACAGACAGAGATTCGCACACCGACCGTACGGAACGTACCAGCGTCGCTGCCCTTTCAAAGCCATCGGGATTCATGGACGGCATGATGTGAATCCGCGTCTGCTGAATGAGCCGCCTGATCCTGGCGTCTCCAGCCTGGTAACGAGAGCACAGGTACTGAACCAGGTTCACCAGGACCTCCCGCCCCACCACCTCGTTCCCATGCATGTTTCCCACGTACCTGAACTCCGGCTCCCCTGTGTAGGGAACAATATTACACTTTAAACAGAACAACGTGATAGAGATGGCGATAAGCTACCTTTTGAGAACTCAATATGGATAAACATCACTGCTAATAACCAGCCTGGGATCTTATCTGGGGTAAACATGCAGCCCGGCTCTTCCTTTGATAGTGATCAGTGACAGATGAAAACGTTGCCTACATGTGTATTCACGACTTGATATATGTCTCTATCTTTGAAGTGTGTCTCCTATGGTCATGTATCCAGCCGAGATGTGTTTGAAGGTACATCAGAATACTTCCCGTGGCGCAATCCTCCTGATCTCCATGGCTTATCTCTTTATTAGACATCTACTGTAAGCCTGTAAAAGGGCGCTGTGAGGAACGTTTCATGAACATTGGACCGTCGTCCGCCGTGCGATTTTGATGCCGTACATCATACGGTACATGTATAAAATTATCAACCAAAACCTGTAACAGAACCAACCGCTGACAATGATTTAAGACATCCTTTTTTCCGTAACAAAACAGCTTAAGTTTGCAGGACACATTCACGACTGACCCAAGAACGCCTTTAGTCGTACGATCGCACGACTTTTGTGACCGTTAAAATTTTGCAGATACACGCACGTGGGAAAATACTAGTAACGTTACATGTAACAAAACCGAGTCAGTGTGATCCTCATTTACCAACCAGACCTGTTTGACCTGACATTCCAGTGGTCAGAGTGACGATCGTGTATTGTCCGTGACTGTTTGCTGTCTTGCGGTTGACCGGACATACCATAGCTCACACAACAACTGACCGCCAGCGTTCTTTTGCTAGCGGCTTCTGTAACTTGGTGACCAGTAGGTCGGTGTAGGTCAACAAACACTCTGAATGGACATTCAGTTCTAACGTATAATTACCGTGCGGCCACATTTGTCTCGGGACGCCCTGTGATTTTGATGTCGTTGAATTGTCGAGCAGGCTGTGACAAGACCAACCGCCGACAAGAACCTAAGCCAGCCTTTTCCGTAATACTAAGACCACGTATATTCTGCAACACATATGCACGGCTACACGCTATCTCGAGAATACCCTTAGATTGCGATCTTACCATGATCGTACGATGATCGTGACCAGGCCCAAACGTCGAATTGCAAGAAAGATTTATTTCTGAAAATGTAAATCGTACACCTACTCTTGGCCCTTCATCATCGATCAGGTATGAATGTGATATTAGATTTGATCTGTGTATCCACCTGTTCGGTTTTTACTTTTTCTAACAAAAGGAACTTATATAGTGCCGTGCCTGTTTGTAATTTGGCTTCCGTAACCATCACCAGCATGGGCATAAGAAGTTTTTCTTTGTGACTTTCTGGATGCACATGTCGAAGTTAGTACACATATAGATACAGGTGTTTCTTGGCGTCCCGGAAGTACAGAAGTGACATCCTTACCTGGCTCGTGAACACCTGGATTGTCGCTGAACTCTATCACCCACAAGTCTCGTCCCTCCACGCTCTTCCCAATGGTGTAAACAAGCGAGATCTCGCGGCAGCTGGCCGCCGTGTCGTTCAGGACTCGGCTCAGGTCCGGGTAGTGATGATATCTGAAGTCAATCCCCACATCCCCACCGTGAACCGAGTTCACCACAAACGCAAGAACAGAGAACAAAACCCAGCAACTCTTTTCCGCGTTCGGCAGGGACGGCCCCTGGTGGTTTTGTAAGGATGGTTTGGAGAACGTTGGCTTCCCCATGATTGTTTCAATGACTTTTCCCGTCCAGCTGGGAATGTATAGAAGTCCGCCGCTTATCACAGAAGTCACGAACTCCGAGTGGAACAGGAAGAAAGGAATGATGACCCCCTCTGCCCTTGCTGACGCGACAAGGATACGCACACACGGGGGACGGGTCAAGATAACTTTCTGGGAAGGGCGCCAAGTTTCCGTCAAGGTGACAAGTGTTACAACTTGTCTTCCTGTGTGTATCAACCAATGTCACATTTTCAATATAAACCTTCTACTTTCGGAAATGAAGCAATGAATAGAATGAGCTTTCAGAACCCCCCTCTTCTCTGATGCTACATGGATTATCCCTAAGAATGACGCAGTCCCATCTTGTCTTGCCCAACAGTACGAGTATATCAGGTTATCACAGCTTTTCCAAAGTGTATGACGGCACTAGTAACGGATGTTAGAGGCAGAGGAATACGTGACGAAAAACATGACCATGTCGTAACTTAAGATCATAAGAAAACATAGACTCCATTCCTGAAAATGTAGCAAAGCCTTTGAGGTAATTACGTCAAGTTTTCAGTGTTTCAGTTCATAGTGATACATGCTCAACTTTTCACCGGAGGTGTTCTACTCCGGTCGTCCTCGTTATGTCTCCGGTTAAACAGATACAGATGTTTTTGTAGAACTTGGCAACAGTAGCGAAAGCCACAAACTCTATGTAACGTTAGTCATAATACTGTGGGCTTGATTACATTCGCTAATCGCTACATACCCAACATCACACTTACAAATATCATCACGGGACCAAAGATCAAAAATGTAATTAAAGGTGCAGTCACGTTTATCGTAGGTTGTCGTACGATCTTTATGTCGCAGACGGCGCGACCAACCGACGACAAGCTTATGCTGCATTTTCGATAACAAGACAGCTGAAGTTCGTGCGACACATGCACCGCCACCCTAAGAATGCTCTAGTTTGCGATCGCACGACGGTCGTACGACGAATGTGATCTGGAGCATGGCGAAAGACATCTATTGTGATTTCGCTGCTGGGTCACGAAATGACTTGGCAGTCCGGTCGGACCGAATATGGCTTCCTGGCGACGTCTAAGACAGCACGCCTCCGCTCCACATCCGGGAAGTGAGTTTATCGTCCTGTCCAGATTACCAAAGGGCGGGAAATTTCTTTTTTTTGTGTGTGTCTTCGTCAGATACTATATTTAAAAGGCGATCGGAAAACATGTGTTTACTTTTTGGCAAAATCATGAGAGATGTGTACACATACAAAACAGTGCACATAGCTATAGCTGCACCGGTACATATATGCACACGTGGACCTTAGATACTATGTACATAGAGACAAAATAGGTAGACACAGACATTCGCCTTCTGAAAGTCAATGTTTTCCTTTTCTACATGATAAATGGGGCTATTACGCAATAGTCCCACTGCCTTCTCTTAACTTCTGTACAGTAGGATTTTTCATTCTAATTTCTGTTATAACACAGTACGGAAAGGAGGGTTCTATGCAAAACAAGGACGCCGCAAGGACATGCAAAATTTTACCAATGGCAATGTGTGTCGCAAAGTCGTTACTACGACAAACTAAGGCTTTCTACATTACACTCCTCTACCACTGATTTATGTACAGTTTGGGGGACGATATGGTGGCCATGCCCATATACAACTCAAACGTTGTTGTTGGCTGGAGGTTTCCACCGCTTGGCGTCTCTGGGAGGCCCGATGTACTTGGAGATGTTGTCCTTGTATATCTGGTTGAGCTGAAGGGGGAGGGGGGCACATGGTTAAGAGACTAGACTAGTAGTATCTCAATAATATAGTTGAAAACAACAAATCGTAAATCATACATGAGTACTGCTCTACTAGTAAAAACATATAAAGAATACTATCTGTAATTGGCGCGAAAGTCAGTGATGACTCAGTGATTGTAAGGCCAGGAGGTCAAAAGGTCAAACATAGGAAATGGGGTGAACCGTGAGAATAGGTTCACAGCACGTGGGTGGGGGAGATGGACGGGCAGAATGCCAAGAGGTCAAAGGGTCAGACACATGAAAGGTCACAAAAACCTTAAATACTTCCCGTAAGTCTGAAATTTCCCATTTCTTGTTAAAGAGATGACTAGATAAAGGCACGGATGAATACCTTCCACTCCTCCTCCCACTGCAGGTGGTTGTAAGTCGGTTCCTTGGAGGAGATGCGCTTGAGGATGGCGTGGTTCTCGTGCGTGATGCGCAGGATCTCCCGCTGCCGCTTCGTCTTGTTCAGGCTGAGAAACGAGAAGCAACAGTCATCAACCACTGGTGAAAACGTGTATTGATTTATAATACTTCATATTTTTATCAAGAGATTCAAATGGATCCAAATGAGCTTTTTTCCCCTTAGTTTGATTTCATGTTACAGCAAGGAAAGCCCATAATCGTTAATTCTACAGAAATCAATAAGATGACATTTGTAGAGTGGCTTTCTTCGAGTTTCAATGTCCCAGGCACATGACAGGCCTGACCTGACCTTTTCTGTTGGTAGTCACTGTTGTGGTTATCCACCCTCCCGCCTGTGCGCATGATGTAGCCGATTTTCTCCAGTAGGATCCTGTTATCCCGCTCCACCGTGGCCAGGCGCTCCTCCTCAACCTGCCATCAACAAAGATGAGATTTCAGACCTCGGGGAAGTGTTTTGTGTTTTCAAAATTGTATTGGAACTGTGGAGATGATTGTATTGTATACTAGGACGTGAGTTAATTTTGGAACACTGACATCTATATATATATATGAGTCAGTTTGGCATAGTATGTAAAGATATCTTCCTATGATGTTTTTCAAGTTTGTGCTCACCTGAAGTTTCTTTAGCTTGAGATGGAGATGCATGTATGTGCGCGGAGGTTTGTTGTCTATCACAGGACTGGCTGTGGGTATCGTAAGAGACAGCTGTTAGTCAACAACAAATTATTCTTCACATGTAGCAAAATCGTGGCTATCAACAAAATATCTTTGATAACCCAACGGTTGATTTTAAACAGAGCCAGGCCCATTCTTTAAGTTATGAACCAAGAACTCTGTTACATGTTATATTGATGGGGTTAGACATCCAGGTAAACGATACTCAGAGACAATTCAAACTCGGTTCTAATTTAGTCTTCACGTCATAAAAACTTCACTGTAATTATATTAGTAATCACTAGTCGGCGTTAGCTGCCGAGTGGATAGCGCGACCTTGGAGAACTGCTGTGGCCGCAAGATGCGCTCCGTAGTTTGTGCAAACACGCGATGATAACTCATCCAGCGTCCCAATTCCTACTGCAACAGAGCCATGATCTAAATCCACACAAGGCCAATAGCTGTCAGAAGCTGTGATAAACAATAGAGAGAGAAGAATTCTTACCATTTTGCACTTTCATCCTATGCGTGTAGAAACGCTTCTGGTCCCACCTTTTCTTCAGCAGCTTGTTGTTTGCCGGGGTGATGGGCTGGTATGACCGGTGAGAGGACTGCATCTTGTCCGAGACAAATCGACGAGTCTACTGGTGAAGGAAAAATCTCCGATACTCTCGATCTCCTGTGGTTAGAGAGAGCTGAGTGAGTGCGCTGTCACCCGCGATGACTCGCTGAACCTATGAGCGACTGCGTAGAATTAACAGCCTACGTGACTCACATTGTGTGACGTCAAAAACATCAGATCCCACATCATAAAGAACACGTGCCCCTTGTAATTTTAATGACACCACAAGGATAAGAATTATCTAAAGGATTCGAAGGCTTATTTTCTAAAGGTTCTCACCGACATACTGTGGACACACTACATACATACATACATACATACATACATACATACATACATGTACGAGAGCATACAGCTTAAAACATATGTAAGCATACACCCTATCAAACAAAATACCTTTCCAAATGTCCCCGTGGTTCCCTCCGTATGTTGTGCTTTGCCTGTTCTTCGTGTTTTTGTTTTGTTTTGATTGGTTCCATCTGACGCAATAGAACGCCGTTCTGGAACGGTCTCTTGTGGCGTCCTGTACTTCATGAACAATGGGCGTGTTTTTGTGACCGATCTGTTTGGATTTCCGTCGCAAACCCAATGCTGTTGTGTCTCTTTACACCCTTGGGTAAGTCTGATATCACTATTCTAGTCTCATCTTATAAATATTGAAACGTCATGGGAGTATATAAAGGCTCTTTGTGACGTTTATATATGTGTATTGGTCCTCCATATTCTTTATCCCGTCTAACCGGCGTAGAAACACTTGATTATCCCAACCTACCTCGGCCGAGACGCCATGTAAATAGAATTCAGCACCAAGGACAGTCACAGTCGAGGTAGTTGATACTACTGCTAATCGCCAGTATCAGCATCTGCTTCAAAACCGCCCATTCTTGCCAATTACTGGCATCTTCTGTTTGTAACTGCCTGACGGCGTGCATGTATCCGTCTTGCTATTCTAATCTAGAAAATTCATTAGGTTCAACCTCGTTCTTGACTTGTAACTTGAATGTGTTTGTTGTATGTTTAGTCGCTGTAGCCTAGCGGAAAAGACATGTCACGTGAGCGGTTGACCTCGCTGCCCATGCCGGAGGACAGGACAAGGTCTGACCGCCTGTCACGTGACCGACTGTCCTCCCTGGTGCTGAAAAAAGACGCCCCGGAGGAGAAGGCAGATGAGGAAGACGATGAACGGGATAGGAAAGGAGGGCTGTTTGCCAAGGTGTGTGATAGAAGTGGAAGGAAATTAAAATGTTGATTGGGGAAGTAAGGATACCTTTCTTTTTTTCAATGATTTTGTTTGTTTACTTGTTTGCTTGTTTGTTTGTTTGTTTGTTTATTGATGTTAGGATATAGCTACGAGTGTCTGGTGTCTCTCTTATGGAATATTCTGCATTTTCCAGTACGGCAGGAAGGTTGCCTTGGCAACGAGGCTTATCCGCAAGAAACCGAAAGAAGACGAACAGGACGATCAGTGAGTTGTGATTCCCCCCCACCCCCATAACATGGCTCAGACAAGACAGTAGCTGAAAGACTGTTGACGTCTAGTCCATGTGTATACTATAACAAATATTTCCCCGTACGTGAGATTTCGTGGAAAGCATATGCATGTGAATATCTCGTTGCCGGAGAACACAGTTCTATCAAGTAACAAATTATATTTTCTCTTTCAGAGTTGACTCTGTCAAGAGAAAATTTCTTTTCGACACCAAGGTAAAGTCAGACTTCATTTAACATTTTTTAATAATGATAAACTGCATTAATTTGTACATCGAGTGTTGTTTGACTTTCTGGAGAATTTGTGCAAAACTGTGATTCATTCATCATTCTTTTGAGTGACTAACCGTAAAATCAATCTACCGAGTGGATTTGAATCTATTTTTGGTAAAAACCATCAGCCAATGCTTTATACGTATCGTGTTGACTGATAAATTGTTTCTTTTTTTACACAAACTCATGGCACATCATGTATACATAAAACATAAACACAGTACACAACATTACAACACATTAACAATAACACTTTGCCTTTCCCTCTGGCTTTTGTTGGCTAGGGTTAGCTACTTGCAATTGGGATTTTTTGACAGATATTTTGTTGTTTCTGTTCCACGCGAAGCTAACTTTGATCGGTTCCAAACTGATGCACGCCCTGGCGGACCAAGAGGAGGTGGTGGACATCCATGACGTCATCGACATGGATGACGAGGGGATAGAAGACTTCGTGGCGCGGCGGGTGGGCGCCATGTTGGACACCATGATCTTCCGACTCATTGTCTTCGGCCTGATCATCGTCAACTCCGTCCTCATCGCCATGCAGACGGACGAACAGCTGGTGAGACACTCGTGTCCAGGGCGATTTTGTTCGTCTGTTCGTTTGTTTCGCATTTTAGGCGTTTGATTGTTCCGCATTCTTAAAGATACCCGTGTTGTACAGTAATTATAATAAGCTGCATAAGACAGGACTGTAAGGTTTGTCGGGATGAACCGTACCCCTACTCTTTTCGATATTAAGTATGGTGCAATCTTAAAGATGCTCGAGGAGTGACCCCCTCCTAAAAATAATGAATGAGAAGGAAAAATAGGAGCTCTGGATTTTTTTTATCACAACATCAATCCAATGGCAGCTCAGGAATCTCTGTCAGGGTAGAAACAATCAGCTTCTCACAGCCTTCAACACCATGGTAACAGGCAGTTCTCAGCCGGACAATAATTGGTCGCTGTTAGCATATATCCTACAGGATCAAGGTGTTCCCGATTCACCTGATAAGAGGTGTTAGCCATCAAGCTCCTAGGGACCTGACCAATGGTAGTGTTTCTAGTAAGGATAGTAGAACTACTGCGGTGCACGTGTGTTTTAAATACTTACACATTTTATACTCGTAAATGCACACTTGCCCATGTGTTTGTCCGTTCCCACAGTCCATCGACTACGCGGCGCTGTTCTCCATCTTTGACCAGTTCGTGCTGACGATCTTCATGTGGGAGATCCTGCTGAAGTGGTACTACGGGTTTGCCGTCTTCTGGAAGGAGAGCTGGAACATCCTGGACTTCGTCATCATTTTGGCCCTACTGCTGGGGCCGAGTAAGGCTTCGTTTTTTCTCCTTTTGTTAATTTGCTCGGTTTGGCACAAAAATGTGGGTTTTACAACGCTTAAAGGCGCATGAAAAACATACATCACACATGTAAATATCATTCTGTCTTCACTTATGACTTGACTTGTGTTGAGTGCACCTCTGCCAATCGAGCTACATTGTTTTGACAGCCCAGCTAGAAGCTCCTATCTTATAGCTTTCCTCATGCCATCAGCGTGTAGACCAGTATCTCTTGTTAGCACCTTCACATAGGTGAGTGGCTGTCTTCCAGGCGTCCTTTTCCCATGTGACGGACACCACCACAACAAGTTGGACACTACTTCTCTGTTCTTTCTGAAGCAGCGTCCGCCAAACCTCTTGATTTATCAGATAGTTTGGGTCAGCAGCAGAAGATACATACATGATATGGCCAATTGATTATTTTCTTATTTCACCAGCTCTGAAGTTCCTGGGCAGCAGCAGGATCCTAAGAATCCTTCGGGTCCTTCGAGCGTTCCGGAGCCTGCGCAGGTACGGGGAGACGGGTGAAAGGAAGAGTGTATATGTATTTACTATTCCCTTCCGTCGGTAGCTGTTAATTTGACAGAAACATGTTGCTGTTCAACACGTATAACGTAAGAGTGCTACTTAACAATCATTGCATGGCAAAGAAGTTGAAGACCAGGTGAGAGGTAGCCTCGTAACCATACCGTTTGGTTTGGTTTGGTTTGGTTTGGTTTGGTATCAATTATTTCGTTCCTATGTACGATATACGGGAGAGGCCGGCTGGAAAGATAGGCTGCTAAAAAGACCTATGCCTGGTATGTGAAGCGCCGTTAAAACACCACTAAGCCGGCACGTATGAATGGTTATACCTAGATCTTTCCCTTCCCCCCTCGAGGCCCTACTCAGATCTTCCCCTTCCCCACTCGAGGCCCTTATCAGGCTAGGTGAGAGGAGTATAAACTGGGTAATCACTTCTGTTCTTGTTTCCCCGGACACTAGTGTCAGCGCCCTGACTGGACTGTCTATGATCGTGCAGACCGTCATGCAGTCTATACCAGGTACGAACACGCATGGATATACATGTTACTGGTCAACATAGTCGCCTAATCGATTGCTACGATTGACCGATTGATGAAACACGAGAGTACTTTGTCAGTTGATTAAACGGTTTGTTTTGTATCGTCGCATTCGTATTGTATCGGCGTTTGGTAGGTAATGGTTGTTGTTGTTGTGTTGTTGTGCCCAGACATGGCGAACATCGTGCTGCTGCTGCTGATCCTGCTGACCGTGCTGGGCGTGTCCGGCGTCACGCTCTTCGGCAAGCAGGTGGAGCAGTTCAGCGACCTGCCGACAGGTACGGAACGTCGTACAAACACTCTAAATGGTGTTCTAAATGGGTGGTCTATCTTGCTTGACTATCACCTTAGAGAAGTAAACGAGCCTTAGCCTGGGTGCAATTCTCTGTAGTTTCCGCCGGCTCCCTTATGTCGCTGCCCACCACGGAGGATGGCACCCAGGCTAAACGAACCTCTCAGCACTTCCCTTTTTTTTATCAACCATATGCTCATGTTGCCAGTTTATTGCTATTATTCCACGTCTTTTTTACCAGCCATGTTCTCGCTGTTTATCTGCGTGACTCAGGACGGGTGGATGAAGATATTCACCAAGTTTCGGGTAAGCGCGGATATTACCTACTACAAAATAGCAGTAAATGTTTATCAAACGACCATACTATCATAATGAAATACTTGCCGGGCATGCCGCCACTCTCTTATTGGTCGAGCCGCTATTTGCTATTCATTTATTGGTTGTAATTATGGTTGACAGACAGGATCGGTGTACTGAGAACCCGGATGTTAGTTCGGTGTTCTCCATGGTGCTGAATTGCCATCACTTGACAGGACATTTTCGTCGGCAGTACAGTGCAGTAGTCTCTGTAATATTTGGATGCCATAGAATTTTTAAGCAGGTTGTGTTAGAACCAACTGCCGACAAGGATCTAAGACAGACTATTTCGTAAGAAGAGAACTGCATTTCGCAGGAAACAAATGAACAAAACATCTTGATACGTCGATGAAGGTTAGACATCCAGGTTCCTATCCATGCAGGTTCATATCCAGTTCCTTGAGTAACTCCTTTTTGGCGTAAAACATATTGATAAGGACAGCTAGATCTGTTGGCAAGAACAGACAACCACTCCCTGTAATTCAGAAGGCATTTTTCTTTCTGCAGGACCTTGGCGGAAACTACGTGATGGGCGGGGCTATCTACTTCATGATCTCCATAACTATCGGCGCTTTCGTTTTCGCCAATCTGGTGGTCGCCGTGGTGGTCACAAACCTGGTAGGTGTCAATCAAAGTGGTACATGGCTTTCTTCAAAGACTTTAACAAAAACGTCCTGCAGTACCAGATCAAGCTGCGTCCAAACGTATTGTCACGTCGTATGCTAAACGCGAAATATGAAAACCAGCATAGAAGACCCAAATCTAGTCTTTTATTATTTCCAGGTCTCACCTACCCACCAACCAAATATCAATGTAATCTACGTAGGAGTTATCGTGTTAACACACAGACACACACACGATGGGGGGGGGGGGGTTGCAGAATGCTACATATATAGTATTATGTTCTATTGACGCGACACTAGCTAGCAGTGATCAAATATGTCTTCATGGCGTAGGACAAAGCGATGAAAGAAGTGAATGAAGAACGGAAAAAAATGGAAGATACTTTGTCCACCAAGCCAAAAGATCACCCAGGGGATTCAGGTAAGCAGTAGGGTTCCAAACTAGCGTTTCTTCATTTTACACGACGTAGTTCCATGTAAATGTCCAGGAATAATAATGTAAATGCAGTCTCGCAGAAGGGGAAAGGGAGGCTTCCACGATGTTTTAAATTCGCAGTACATTTACAGTCAGCCGTTTTGTGTCCACTATGTACTAGACGATGCCCACAAACACAGTGGAGCGGACAAGGTCCCCCTGTTCTACATGTCGGACTTGCTCAGGCATGTGCATGTTGGGAACCAAGTGCCTCTACAGCACGTGGTAAGGCTAAATCTCTACTTCTTGTGTTGTGAGTCCGGAGGACTACAAGAGTGACATGAATGCTTCGAAATCACTTTTATTTTAACCACTTGTTGTCTCCGCGAAATCAATGGGGATAGATTTGTTTTCGAATCCCTGTCTGTAGGACCTGCGGAAGTTATCCCTGGACAGGGTGGAGAACTACCTGCTGATTCTGGTCACCATGGAGAAGAACCTGGCCGAGTACAAGGAGCTGCGGCAGCAGCTGGAACAGGTCAGCCCTGCGGTGCAGTACTAGTCACACCTGCTAGGTGGCGCGAAAGAACGGACAAGGCCATCCCCTACTAGAATATGATCATGAACGAACATTGAGTTATCTACGCTTACCCATCTCAGTACTTTGTGGCCCATTATTTCGTCTGATGCTATGCGTAGCCAATTTCTGTAGCCTGCTTTCTTGTGCAAATTTTTCACCTCTTGCATTATCCATGCAACCTCTATTAACGTTGTAACATTTAGTCATCAGGATACATATGTGACACTTTAAAAGACAGTGTGCTTGATAGAGATCTCTAGTACATTGTACTGGGGGATGTTGAATCACATTTCTTTCTAGGTGGCAAATATGTGACCTGGCAGAATTATGTCAGTAAACTTTATCCTTGCTATCCTCTCCCACAATCATGCCTGTCATGTTGTTTACAGATCTTCACTACCGTTCATGGCCTGAACCAGAAGAGAACAGAGGTCCAGCAGTCGTCTTCTTCCTCCCGCATGCTGGCCAAGCTCAGGCTCATAGCAGAGGACTCAGTGGACCCAAACCTGGGGGTAATGTGTGCTTTTCGCTGTTCTTACAAACCCAGTGCAATGACCAAGTGAGTGGACTCCGGTGGAGTGTTCACCTTGCATGTAGTGGGCCTTGAGTTCAATAAGCGAAGTCATACAAAAGACTTTTGAACACACACACACCACTACCAGTGGACTATCCCCCTGGTTAATCATTGTACAATTATATTGTTTGGCCTGAGGGCTACTGAAATGGAGATGGGCATTACACTATGCACAATCTGGTGTGGGAAAGGATTTGGATTCTTACAAATGCTTCTGTATTCTATTATTGATTGAGGGTGATGAAAAGGGAAATTTAAAAAAAATGTAGGGTGAATGTGGACAAGTAACATTTTGTGTAGATTTTTCCACATTTTCATCTTTGTCAGTCACTACAGAAAGATGGTGAATCTGAAGTGTCTGAGAATTTGTCCAGTTGCTTGACCTCTTTTGTATTACATAATTTTCTACCTGGAAGTCTAACCTTCATCGATGTATAAGCAAGACTGGTATTATTTCAGACCAAAGGAGACATCCTGTCAAACCTGATGGCCGTGAAGGTTTCTGGGCCCGAGCCTGAGGCTCAGTCCTTTGCTGCCAGGTCACGCAAGCGCTCTTCAGTCATCGCACCTGGCGAGTATAAAGACTACATCTCCGAGGCTGCCAAGCAGATTGCACGCCGCAATTTATCAGTGTCTACCTAGCGAGACTACTTCCTGTGAGAAAGGAATCTGCCAGCCTGGCTGCCATCCTAGTTATGTAACTGGGACTCCTATTCTCAGCTTTACCCTACTAGGTAAAGAAGGAGTACAAAGCCTGCAATAAAGATGAAGTGAAAACAAAAACAAAACTAGTGCTCCAAATATGTCTGCACTATATCAGCAACGTATAACACATCTTGTTATCATGCCCTGCTTGTACATGAAAAATTGAAAGCCTTTCCTCCATTGTGTGTATAGACTCTATAGACCTAATAATAGAAAAAGTAAAAATGACACTGAAAACTTCTGGAAGTATAGGGATGTCCTTCAAGAATATGCAACACATTTAATGGACATCAGACATACAAAATGTAACAGTTTACATATCAGACAAATGGCTACTTTTACAGTCATCATCCTAGCTCATCTTGTCTCATTGAGATCCTGCATGTCGTTATCACTGATGTCTTCATCACTGTCCCCTTCTTCCTCTGCATTCATGTCAAAAAGTCGCAACCGGCGCTGGTGACCATACAGCTGTAAAATGGGACAAGATAAAATTAAATGCCAGCAGCATACTGTATTTTCAGCATCATATTCTAATTTTACAGACATACATGACTTTGTACATTGTGCAAGTACATTAATAAACTGAACAAAGAAGCAAAATGTTTACTACAGTAAAATGCTGTTTTTGTCGCTTTTCTACCGGTACCAAGGTATTTCAGAAATGAGGACATATTGGAAAACAATTTTGCAACGTTTTCAACACTCAGATGTCAGAAATTTTACGTTCCTTGCCAGTGGTCGATTATGCTAGGGTATGGAGAGTCTGATCAGAACAGTAGTCCTTACCACAGCTCCCACTTTCCTCTCCCCACCCACTGCCATGACTCCGGGGTCTGCATTCTCCAGGTAGCGGTACTGAGTGATCTGGTGGCCCACATCATACATACACAGTCCACTGCACACAACAAGAAAGCAGAGATTTCAGACTTCTAGGAAGTACTTTCTAGGAAGGTCCTTCATAACTTTCAGATTCACCCCATTTACTGTGTCTGGCATTTTGACCTGTGATTCTGCCCGTCCATCTTCTCCCCACCCACATGCTGTCAACCAGACAAAACCAAAGCTTAGCCTCCCCAAATAAAACTTCCAAACCCATACGTTGAGAATACTAAAACTGCATAAATAACTGCTATAGTCTAGACAGGTGATTTTTATAGGAAGCTTTGTATTCTTAACTGACAATGAAGAGAGACTGACTCACACTCTATCTCCAATGGAGGCCACAGTTGCGGTTAGAGGGAATGTCTGTGAGACTTCCAACACTGCAAACCCACAGTCATCCAGGGCCATGAGGGGGAGGAGGGCCAGGACAGGGCAGCACTCCCCCTCCCCCTCCTGCAGCAGCAGTGCTAACGTCCCCTCATCATAGTACGAGACGTCCAGGATCTTATGGGAACTGCATCTGGGGTGGACAGAGGTAACAGTAAGGTATAACTGATACATATTTCATTCTATTTTGCCAAATGATAAAAGAGCAAAATTTCACATCAAAATAACATAACATAAAACATTAGCCTGCATATTAAATGCTGCTTCAAGCAGCCCTTCCACTGGTCAGCACAACGTACAGTCAGAGCTTGTGTCACACAGGCAAGCAAAACATTTAGAAATAAAGTATTCTATGTTTCAAATTTAAAGTAATGTATCCAGTTGCAGAAGGACTGAGTTGAAAAC